CTCTTGTATTGGATGTTCTTATTTGTCTTTCTAAGGCTAAAGATCCCTGGGCATCTTTCAAGACCCAGACTAAAGATCACCAGTTTCAGGGACTCTCTCTTACTCTCTGATTTAGTTCTTTCACCCCCTAGACTTTCCAGTTGCCACTTCTTCCTTCTTTGATAGTGCTTAGCTCACACTGTACACATTCCCCCCCTCCAATTATCTTTCTCAAAGGCTGGTATTTTGGTAGACATATAGATACATATATAGATCTATATAGATATAGATTCTCAGAGCATAAGTGTCCACAGGTGAGCTGGGACTGACTGCACATATCAGAGAACAAATGGCGAGGAATCATTCACACAAAACTATTCAGTTAGTTTACAAAGCACTTTCCCACTCTCATTCTGAGAGTCTCGGATTTTTGACTATTTTGGAGATGGGAAAATGAGATCTACAGAAAGGCAGTGAGTTACCCAGCCATGTGTTAGAGAAAAAGCATGGCAAGGATCTTGGATCTCTCTGGGCTTCTAGTGCTAGAAACCATGAGGTAAACCATGATGAGTGTGGTTTCACCTACCAGGTGCTGATCCCTGTGGCTAGCTCACCAGAGTGTGAGGGTCTCTGGGGAAGCAACTAGCTTCAAGCCTCAGCCACCAGCATAGGCAGGCAGAGAGGAGGGCTGGGAAAAGCTCAAAATCACCTAGAAGCTAACAGCAAGGCTTCCTACCAAGGGGGCCAGGAAATCCCATTAATGATTCATTCGTTTTAACAAATATTTACTGAGCACCTACTACCTGTGGCAGAGTGTTAGATGCTAGAAACACAAGGTTGAGGAAGACAGACAAGAGTTGACATTCTTATGGTAGAGACAAATATCTAAACAGATGTACAAGATATTTAGGCAATAGTAAGGGCTATGTAACTACAAGATGTGGTGAGATGGGGAGGGGGAAGGAGAGGGTTTCTTCTGGTGGGGTGGCTAGGGAAAGTTTCTGAAAGAAGTCTGAATGCCCAGAAGGCAGACCTGAAGGAGGCAGGAGGCAGCAGGTGCATAGACCCTGAGATGGTCTGGAGGACAGGAGGCTGTGAGATAGTGGTAGTTGCTCATGTAGCCTCAGAGGTCCTGAGGAAGAATTTAGGACTGAAGTATGGGAGAGTAGGTGGCAGCAAGCAGTTCATCTGTTCTAAGGGAAAGGGAAGAAAAGGGGCTGCTGGTGCCTCCATCCACCAGAGCTCAAGCTTGGGAAAGAGGAGCTGCCTCCCATCAACAACTCATTCATGCCACTCATTCAGCAAATTGCAGAACTCCCACACTGAGCAGTGCTTAGCCCTTCCCGGACCCGGCTATAATTCATTGGTATAGGGAGGCTAACCACATACTTGGGCTCTAGGCTGGCTTTCCCACCTCTGAATAAGTCTCTTCTCTCTGGGGACTTCAGCATTCCCATCTGTGCCATGAGGGTTGGGCCGGATCCAGCAACAACAGATGCCTATGTTTTATGACTCAAATACTTGCTGCAGAATTTAAGGGCAGGTGAGTGAGGATAAGGCAAGATTTCCACACTGGCTATGGAGTCATCGGCCTGCTAATAAAACTGTTGGCCCTCCTTTCCCCACCCTTGGCACTATAGGTAACTCCAAAGTGTGTAGCTCCAAAGTGATGACAGGAGGGGGTAAAAGCTAACTAGAATTGAGGGAGGGGGAACATGAGAGTGACATTTCACTCCCTCTCTGGAGTCTCCGTCGCAGACCCCCAGGGATGGAAGATTGGGAAGCTCCTTCCCATCCTCTTGGTTTATGTATGAGCTCACGCAACAGCTGTTAGAAAGGATTCTTCTACTATATCCATATCTGACCCCTATAATACATCCTTATTCCCAGCTTGGTTCTTTGGAGCCCTGCAGACATCAGCTTAAGAATTTTACCACCACCATGTGCAGGATCCTGTGTTGAACCCCAAGGATACAGGCAAGCACCCAAGGGGTTATGGCCCAAAGAGTGTGAGTATACATACAACCAACTACAGCTCCCATACCTGGCCCAGGGAAGTACTGTAGGTATTAGGAGATACCAAGACAAATTAACCCTATTACAGTCCCCAATATATACCTATCACCCACTTTCCTACAAAGAAACCAGACACCAAGGTATCTTTTATTATCACTCACCCAGCTCTGCACTTCCCTTCATAGAATCCATGGGCTCTCCTTGAATACTGTCACCAACAAAGTGTTTACACTATGTCAAAGCAGTGGGAAATTATCTGCAGAGGCAAACTAGGTCACTAGGGAGTGTCTTCAAAGACACTGGGTGCAACAGAGATGTCAAGATTACCCAAATGTGCTTCAGCACCCTCCCCTACCCTACCTAGTCTGTTACCAAAGTAAATCTCAGAGATGAACTGACTGGTTTGCATTTCATATTAGCCCTTGCTACATTCCATGATGGATTCTTGTGCCTGTTTTTTATAATTCATATTTCCAAGATCTGATAACAACATGGGAAATTCTGCTGGTATGATATGAAATGACTTGGTCAAAAACATCTTCTGGACTATAAATTCTCTTTAGTAACAAACTCTAAAATATGAGAACTGAGGGTCATGGGCTCCTGGAAGACACAGCTCACAGCCTGTGGACAGCAGAGTATAGGAAGGGATCCCCAGGGAGAATCACCACAGAGAAAATGTCCTAATCCATTATCCAAAGACAAAAACATTGTAAACACATGAACATGGGCAAGTCCTTTCTTTCCCTGGTAAGTGCATCAAAGGGCACAGTGAATAGGGCACATTGAGTGGGAAAAGAAGCTGTCAGAGATTATTGGCTGGTGGGTGGGACAGATGAGGCTCTCACTCTAGGATAGAGAAAGAAGCTCAGTACCTTTCCAAGGGCAATGTGAAGCACCCAGACTAAGAAGAAAGTCAGATAACCACAAGGAATAATGTCAATGTTAAGACAGTTAAATGGAGACTGGTCACTCCAGCCAGCACATTAGAAATGATTTTGATTAACAGCAAGAAATATTCATGATATAAGCTTAAGGAGAAAACATAATTCGGAACTGTATCTACAACATGTCCTCAAGGTTTTGTGTATAACCAGTATAGAGGAAATACTAATGCTAATAGAAAACTATCATTGGATAGTTTATTTTTTCCTTTGGTGCCAGTCCTGGGGCTTGAATTCAGGGCATTTATGTGCAAGGCTAACACAGTGTCACTTGCACCACAGCTCTACTTCTGGCTTTTTGGTGGTTAATTGGAGCTAAGTCTCATGGACTTTCCTGCCCAGGCTGGATTCAAACCATGATGCTCAAATCTCAGCCTGCTGAGCAGCTCGGATTACAAGTATGAGCTACTAGTGCCTGGCTCTACCAGTAATTTTTTATTTTCTCCTTATCTGACTATATATTAAGATTTTCAAGCAGGGTGCTGGGCCTGTAATCCTAGCTACTCAGGAGGCTAAAATCTGAGGACCACCGTTAAAAGCCAGATCAGGCAGGAAAGTCCTTGAGACTCTTATCTCCAACTAACGACCAGAATATCAGAAGTGGCACCTGTGACTCAAGTGATAGAGCACTATCCTTGAGCTGAAGGGCTGAAGGATAGCTCCCAGGCCCAGAGTTCAAGCCCCATGACCAAAAAAAAATTTTTTTTCACTAAAAGATTATTTTTCATTATGAAGGTGAACAGAGCAGGCAGTTAACTACTAAAGAAAAACACCACCTTAGAGAAGTTCAGCAAGCAGAATACTGGCTTAGGAGGAGAGTTTTTTGTTGTTGTTGTTTTTGGTTGGTCTTGGGGCTTGAACTTCTGGGCCTGGGCACTGTCCCCCAGCTCCTCAGCTCAAGGTGAGCACTCTACTACTTGAGCCACTGCACCACTTTCCATTTTCTGAGTGGTTTATTGGAGATAAGAGTCTCACAGACTTTCCTGCCTGGGCTGGCCTTGAACTGCAATCCTCAGATCTCAGCTTCCTGAGTAGCTAGCATTATAGGCATGAGCCACCGATGCCTGGCAGGAGGAGAATGTTCATGCAAAATGGACCAAGACAATTGAGATGACTTCCCAGGGTCTCCTAGATTTGTATTTAATCCCCCACTCAAGGGGGGGGGGACTGCCTCAGTTTCTCTAAGAGTAGGTAAAGAGAGTGGGAGTGAAAGGAATGCTTTTCCTTGCACAGGAAAAACAGGCATTTGATTTCAACTCTGCCCCTAATTCACTGAGGACCTCAGTGCTACCCTGGAGGACATCCAGCCCCCTCCTTCTAAGTATATCCAGAGTACACCATGCTCAAGAGTTGTTACTGAATGGGCTTTGCAGTCTGGGCTGGCAGATGGGAGTGGGACCGAAGACAGTATGGGTACACCCGTTTTAGCCAGGCATGTACCCCATCCAGTGGCTGCTTTAGGAGATTACCAAACCTTTCTACCCGGCTGCCTCCTGTCTCTCAAGCCAAAGTTTGTTCCACCTGGTGAAGGAGAGAAGGGAGGGAACTGCCAGGGGTCAGAAACAGTATGGGGGTGGAGGATGGGGGGTGATGCTGGGGAGGAGCTAAATATCCTGAATAACTGAAAAGGGTGGATGGTGTCGCCCTTATCATAAGCTGGGGGACTGGAAGTGATGTAACCCATGTTGCAAAAATCAATGAGTGCCAGAATGGGGAGAGAATGAACCTAGACTTGTCTAGGTTGCCTGGCTGCCTAGATCAGATGAACAAGATGATGGAGGTCGGGAGAGCCTCCCCTCCAGCACCCCCCCCCCCCCCCTCAAAGGAAGATTTAGGACATGGTGGAGAATGCTTGCAATGCTGGCGCCCAGGAGGCATCAGCAGGGGAGATCGTGAGTTCGAGCTCAGTCCAGGATACACAGACCCAGTCCCAGAAAAGAGGGAAGAGGAAAGGAGAGGAGAGGGAGGAGCTGGGACCTCATCTTCACTGGTCAGCCCTCCAGCACAGGTATGCAGTTTCATGTCCCCAGGATGAAAGAAAGCCCCAGGTGTGGCACTCACCCCATTTCCCAGATCTCTCTGGGGACAGCTCGCCTCCTCCATTCGAGCTTTCGCCCCGGGCAGCGCCGGTGCGGCGCTCGCCTCGCAGGACCCCTGAGTAGGCAGCTATGAGGGTCTTCATGCTGAAGCCAGTGCAGCTCACAGCCCGGAGGGAAGCCGCTTCACGCCGCGCCCCTGGCCCATGCCCTGGCCACCGGGGCCAGGGCTTCGCGCAGAGCACGGGAGCCTGGGGACGGTGCCTAAGCCTTGGCGGCCTCGGCACCGGAGCTGGGACGAGTGGCCGGCGGCGGTGCGCCGAGCAGCCAGAAAGCGAGCGAGGCGCGGCCACTGAGCCCGCGGCGGGCTCGGAGCGCGCTTTATAACCTCACAACGGGGCGGGGCGCGACGCGGAGGGGCGGGGCGCCATGCGGGGGGCGGGGCGCGATGCGGGGAGGCGGGGCGGGCCGTTCCACCCCCGCGGCTCACCCCACGTCCTCGCGGGGGGTGGCGCGCCTCGGTCTTGGCTTGGTACCTTTCGTTCTCCGGCCCTGCCTGGGCCTGCCCTGCCCCAGCTGGACAGAACATAGTCCAAACCTGGAGCTTGACTGCCCGTCTCAAGTGGAGCGCCTGGTTACTCCAGATGCCTTCTCAGCTCGCGCCCTCGGCCTCCCCCAGAGACTTGGTACGGCCCGGCAGCTAGAACGTGGGCCGGGAAACTGAGCACGTGCCGGACGGTCTGAGGGCGCTTGTGTTCTTTTCCTTCGGCTCAGTCTCCTTTGGCTGCACATGCAAAAGCGCCTTGGCCAGTGGTGCTGGGATTAGCTGGGTTAAGGCTGGGATTAGCTGGGCTAAGGCTGAGCTTCCCACTTACCTAAAATGCTACCTACCCTTCCATTTATTAAGAGGCATCATAAACCATCTGTATACACTGTTGGGTACTGAAGACCCTGTGCTCTGCTGGCGTAGGTGAGCGGGTGGCAGGAAGGAACACTCACTGATACTGGCAACAGTCCTGGGACAGGAGTGAAGCCAGGGCCCGCTGGAACCACAGACAGGGGACCCTGCCTCCCCCTGGGGGAGGGTACACTGCTCAGAAAGGTCTATATAGGACAGATGTGGAATCCTACCTGGCGTTCAGCTCTGGTCCTGCCATTCTAGAGCCTCAGTGTTCGTGTCTGTAAAGTGAGAAAAATTGTGGTGAGGTACTTGGAGAGCTAAGGAGGTGAGTCATGAAAGATGCTTAACTTGCACCTACAAATGGTTAGAATTTTTTAATTGCCCGCGGATGAATAGTTTTGCACACGAAGGATGTGAGTGCAAGGCTGGACAGGCATATAGTTTTAGGAAAGTCCGCATGTTTGGGTCTGGAATAGGTGGGACCCAGGCAGTAGGGGCAAGATCTTGTGTATCATTCTTCGACACTGAAGTGGGAGTGGGATTTAGAGAGAGCTTTAAATACTGTAGCAACAGTATGGGAGACAGATAGGAAGGTCTGTAAGCCTGGAGGGCTGTGGGAAAGGCTGTGAGACAGAGCTGGGCATGGAGGATGAGGCTCAAGGCAGGGTAGTTAGTGGTCAATGGATTGGAGGGAAGGCCTGGTATCAAGAAAAGCATTGAGAGTGATTTATCAGATGTGGGGGCAACCAACATGTTTGTGAAAAGACTGTTTGGGGGCACAGCATGAGCAGGCTGCCTGCGCTATTAATTGCACTATGAAAAGAGAGTGAGTCTCTGCTTTTGAATCTCTTCTTTTCACAGATAAAGGGGGAAATTCAAGAGTCACAGTCCCAAGGCAGCATGTGACAAATGCTACCGGTGAGACCTAGGAACATATCCATTTATTCAGCTCCCTCAAAGCCACAAAAGTAAATATCGTTGAGAAAATAGAACCCAGAGGCTGATGCAGTGGCTCAAGCCTACAATCCTACTTGGGAGGCAGAGATAGAGAATGGTGGTTCAAGGCCCCCACCCCCAAATTATTGAGATTCCATTGTAACCAATGGCTGTGTGGTGATGATCAGAGCCTGTTATCACAGCGATGGGGAAAGCACAACAGCTGGATGAAGTGATGCATGCCTGTCACTCCAGCACATAGGAGGAGTGAAGTCCAGTCCAGCTGTACATAAATGGAGGCCTTATCTGAAAAAGGAACCAATACAAAAAGGGATGGTTCTGGGTGACAGAGTGCCTGCCTAGCAATTTTGAGGCCCTGAGTTCAAACTCTAGTGCTAGCAAAAATAGAACGATAAAAAAAGAAAATGGAAATCTGAACTGGTAAAGAGTAGAAGAGAAAGTATACCAGGCAAGAGAGGCCAGCATGTGGTAAGGACTTGAGGCTAGATGAACTTGATGCCTTTTGGAAAACTGAGGGAAGGCTAGTGGCATGCTGCATCAGCATGGTGTGCACAAAGGTGTGAGTTGGGGATAGGGTAGTATATTTTTGGGCAAAGAAGGATGCAGACAGGTAGATGCTGAAGGTATCAGTAGATTCTTGGAGGTAAGATGCCTATAGGCCTGGAAGACCACTGTGTGGCTTGTGCCTGCTCTACAAGAGTCTCTTGTGGAGGTGGCCTTTGACTAGAACCCATGATCCACCCACTCAGCTTACTGTGATCTAAAGGGTAGTGCTTGAGTTGGGAGGCAAGTTGCCTGGGTTTTAGCCTCTTTTTAACCTACCTAATTCACCAGGTTTCCTTAGGCATCTTTTTTTTTTTTTGGGGGGGGGGGGTCCAGTCGTAAGGCCTGAACTCTAGGCCTGGGCACTGTCCCTCAGCTCTTCAGCTCAAGGCTAGCACTCTACCACTTGAGCCACAGCGCCACTTCCGGCTTTTTTCTTTTTACTTATGTGGTGCTGAGAATCGAACCCAGGGCCTCAGGCATGCAAGGCAAGCGCTCTACCACTGAGCCACCTTCCCAGCCCCTCCTTAGGCATCTTGTCTAGGCTTGTCTAGGCTTGTCTAGGCTTCTCTGGGCTTCCGTTTCTACATTGTAAAATGGGAGTGACAAGTTCTGGTCTTGCCAATTTCACTGGAGTACTTAAGGATCAAGTGAAGTCATCAGATGTAAAGGGTGTTACCACTGTGCCAGGACAAATAACATCTCACTATCTTAATGATAATAAGTAGCAAGGTTTCAGGTAAAGGAGGCTCATTTGAAACATTCAGATCCCAAGCCAACCTACTTCAGCACATTTTTCTGTGCATCTTTTTTGGGTCTAGTGCTGATTAGGATATAAGAAATCAGACTTAGCACCTGTTTTTTTTTTTTTTTTGGTCTGTCATGGAGCTTGAATTCAGGGCCTGAGTACTGTCCCTCAGCATTTTAGCTCAAGGCTAGTGCTCTACCACTTGAGCTGCAGTGCCACTTCCAGTTTTCTGGTGGTTTATTGGAAAGTTTCACACTTTTCCTGCCCCGGCTGGCTTTGAACCATGACCTTCAGATCTCAGCTTCCTGGGTAGCTAGGATTACAGGCCTGGTAGCACCCGCTTTTGTGGAGACCTAACCAAGCGATGGTCACTCAATGGTAGCCAATGGTCACAGGACATCTAGGATGTGATAAAGAGAAACATGGAGGCCGTGACAAGGCTTCCTGTGCTGTCACTATCTATGGTGTCTACTTCTCCACTGGGCCAGGGGCTACTCAAGGGCAGGGGCTTCATCACTCTGTGGCCAACTGTGGTTTATCAGAGAGGCTCAGCCCACAGTGAATGAGCCAATGAGGATAATAGAGACGAGCAGGAAATGGTAAATTGGAAAGTCAAAGGGATCAGAGGATGAGTCTTATTGTGTCAGAGGAAGGTATTGTATGTATACAAGCTTTAGGTTAGATTTAGGTGAGGCATAGACTTAGGATGGGATCTCCAGGTATGACTAGAAGGATTTAGGCACAGGGTAGGTAGGTAAGGTTGAAAAGGGGAGGGGAACCAAATGAGAGAGGCTGATGCCAGACTAGAACTAAAGGGTTCTGTGGTCCTGCTATGAAGCTCAAGCTTCATCCTCTTTGGGATGGACCAAGGGAAAGTATGAGCTTCAGGGATCAGATGGTGGGTTAGAAAGATAGGCTGGGCTGTAGTATGGAGGTAGGGGCTTAGAGAACCTGGCTGTAAAAATCTGACCCAATGGTTGCACCCTTCGTATGCGGAAACATCTGCATTCAGATGAAGGCCAAAGGCTGAGAAGCACAGTCAATTGCTTCTGGGTCACCTCTCAGAGCATCAGTCTCTGGCATCCTGACTAGTAAAATGCTCTCTGCCATCTTCTGTACCCATGACTACTGCTTAAACACATTGGTCCAGAATGGAAAACCAGACCAACCCAGAGTTAGAACTACCCAAAGAGGACATTTCTTAGAAGCATTCTGTATCCTGGGCCTATTTTCTGCAGGGGCTGTTCCCAGCAAGCCCTGGTATCTGGTTCTGTCTCCACACATCCTAGCATGCCTAGGTTTCCTATAATAACCTGTCTTGAGTTCCCATGGGTAAGCCTGTGTGCTAGTACTTGGTCTACCTCTCCATCACCTGCCAATCCAAACCACAGGGGTTCTGGCCAAACTAGAGAGATAAGTCACACTTCCAAGAAGGCTTCACCAGAGTGGGCTTTTACCAAAGGTGGTATGTCCTAGCGCTCCTTACAGTCACCAGAGCTCAGCTGCCACTAGGAAATATGTGTGTGGCCTTGCAGTTCCAAAAGTGTTTGATACATGTAGGCTGAGACACACTACAATGGATGGGAGCCCTAGCCCTCTACCACCCAGAGAAGGCCAGTGACTATAAAATCTATCCACAAGGAGGAAGATGCTTCCCTACAGACACAGGGAGAATGAAATGTCTGCCAAAATCCTGCTCTGGGCTTACATACTTACCCAGTCCGCACGACCATTCTGCAAGAGTAATTCTCACTTCTTTGTAGATAGAGTGCTGAGAGGTGCAGAGACCATAAAGTAACACATACTGAGCAGCCCTAATCAGAAACCTGACTTCTAAAGTACTTGTAGATCCAAGCATGTTGGATAAAGGATGTATACAGTCTGTCATAAAGCCCAGGTCCTCACAGCATGTAACCCATGGATTCTTCTCTGCCCCACAGGGCTGTAGGAAGGGACTACCAGCCTTGTGCTAGTGGCTCATGCCTGTAATCCTACTCAGGAGGCTGAGCTCTTTGGATCATGGTTCAAAGCCAGCCTCGGCAGGAAAGCCCATGAGACTCTAATCTCCAATTAACAACCAGAAAACTGAGAGTGGCACTGTGGCTCAAAGTAGTAGAGCACTTGCCTTGAGCAAAAAAGCTCAAGGACAGTGCCCTGGTCCTGAGTTCAAACCTCACAACTGACAACAAACAAACAAA